TGCAGTCTTGACAGGATTTTACAGAACTTGCAGACTCAGAAGGAAGAATCTAAGGTAGGAGCTCATTTTAGTCTTCCAAATCATTATATTCAAATTATATATGTATATATTTTGTTTGATATATTGTTTGCTTTAGTTATCATAAAATGGTAGATTTGACTCATGTTACCTTTGCGCTTACTTGATACTTACCAAAGATACTATGTAAAGCAAGAATATGCTGTGTGATTTAAGGGGAATGTTAGAAAGGAAACATTAAAAATGGTCATTCTACCTGGAGTATAGTTCGTTATTATTCTAATTGCTATATGATCGAATCCAACATGCAGATTTTTGTTTATGTAGGGAGTCTTACGAACGTAGCTGATTGCTTATTAAATTCTTGTTGTGTCATCGTCATCGGAGACAAACAAAGCTCACACTGAAGAGTGACCCAGAATTGTGATTTCTGATCGTTTGAAATTGAATTTTAGTGTTAGATAATTTTCTTTGCCGCAATAAAGATTACAATTCTCATCGCAGTCAAGTCTGCGGCCAGGAGATATTTTTAATGAAACGGTTTCAATATTAAGCCTAGCTGCTTCCTTAAAGCTTTTCACTGTTTGCTGACCAAGATTGAATTTTTACACTGACGGATAATAAAAGAAGGTTATTTTCGAAAATTCTCTGTGTATCAGTCCTTCGCCGCATTATCCGTTTTTGGCAAGCTCTCAAGCGTAACAGTTTAAATTTTAGCGGCATTGTGTTCTAAGGTTTTACCCTGATACGTGTCTGGCATCACAAGCAAAGTCGACCTGGATGACTAGCATATGTGTCCACAGTAGTCCACAGACACTTATGGATATAACGGTACCGATGAATATCCGTTCATCGCTAAACGACCTTCAAATTTCACGACGGAAAACACAAGCAAGCATTCGTGCCTTTAGCGTGAAGCTAACATTCACTGAATATCCTTGCTGAAGACTATTCACTTGATGTCTCTCAGACATGCACTGTTTAAAATGAAACAGGAGCGCGCGACGCAGAATGTTTGGAAAGTTTCCTCGAAATTCATTTATGAAGGCCAACAGCGCGCGAACCTACGTTCCAGGTGCTTTAGGGCGTTCAGCGGTCAGACATGTCTATTCAGTGTTTTATAGCCCAAACATAAACACCGATGCAATGATATTTAAATATTGTATTACGTTAATCTTACATAACTGTAGAATAAATTTTACGGAACCCTTTTAAACATTGCTTAAGAATACCAGTTTGTTGGCAGTGGCGATGAGCGCAAGTTCTCTCTGGTGGCAAAAACTAAATTGAGTGGTTTCCGGGTCTGGTGTAGTGCATAGACCAATCTGATTAGCTCGTGCTTGTTTGTACTATCTGTGCGGCAGTAGTAGATCATTTAAGCTAAACGTAGTTGCAAAATCAATTTTTGATTCAGTTCTTTGCCTGCATGATTGTCTGCATCATGATAGAAATGGATGGTGTTTTTCTTGTTGCTGCTGTCTGTGGCGGTCGCACAGAAATATAAGCAATAATTTCCCAAGTCGACTCGTTAGTGACGATGGAGCGTTCGTTAGCTTTCTCTTAAACTGATGCCTTAACATTTTCTACCTCTCCGTCTTACATGCTGTCTATTTGCTTTTCCTTACCTTAACATTTTTGCATATGTTGTTAAACCTTCTCGTTTCTGTTGTGTGTGAGACCACAGTAGCGCATTGAAAATGCATTTGAGGTTACGTGTCAGAGTTTCCGTTTCGAATTGTACAAAGGTACTGTAAATGTTTCTAATTTCATATTTGAACAACAAAAAACACTGAATAATATAAGAATTGAAGCATCGCATTCCATGTTGTATCCTAAAAGTAGTATCATTTTCTCAGTATTGTAATTTTTCTTACACTAATTAGATTATAGCCTGGGCCTTGATGGACAACGTTTTTATCTTGAATATTTACTGACCTACAGATAAACGAAAAACAGGCAAGCGGATAGTGAAAAGTCAGACTGTTTTCAGATAATATTTCA